ATTGAATTCCATCCTCTTGAAAATAGTGTTTTTGCAAAGTTCCAGTATAAAAAGTAATTTAATAATAGGGAAAATTATGGATTGTAGAGATATTACTTATGGGTTTTTTTTTAAAGTTGAAGAAACTAAAACTTAGAGGGGGTGTGACTTAGCCAAGTTCACACAGTTAATTAGTGTTAAAGACAAGACCAGAGCTTAGGTCTCCTTATTTCCAAGAGAGACATTTCCCCTATACCATACTTCCTTCTATATTGTTTCTGGAGTTGACATTTCAAATCAAAGAATTTTATAGTATAATATTTTGAATTTAGTTATTGAATTCTTATAATGTTTTGTTAAACCATAGAGTACATATTACTTAAACCAAATTAATTATATTGAAATACTTGGAACCTCACATTATCATTTTCTAACTTGTATTAGTGTCTGTACTACAATGGGGGAAAAGCACTGTCAATCCTTTTCATTCCAGCGAATGTAGAGGGGTTTCTGCGGGTAGGATAACACTCTAACTTCCAGGTTCCAGGTGAAAAAAACTAAGGCTCAGACATAGCAGATTATTGCCATTTTTTAGCTCTGCCCCTTTTTGGGGCAACAACATTCCTCTTTTAATCTAAAGGTGTAGTTTGAGTGGATTAATTCAATTAGTCTCATGGGTTTTGATGCCCCCATGAACTGGAAAAACTCTGTCCTCTCCCCTTTACTAATGTGTTTCAGTAGAGTCAATTATGTAAATATGGTATAGCTGTACAGTATTTTTAAACTCATAACCATGAAAGGAAAGGGATAAAATCAAATCAATGAAACCATGTAGACCAGTCTACTTCCAGACCAAGCTGCTCAAGTGCTTTTTAAGATCTGTAAACAAACCTTAGAAAAACTTTTTTTTTTTGCTTTGTTTCTGGCCTCCTGCTTGCTACTGACCCTGTTAGACTCAATGAGATTGGTGAGTAATGGCCCTGAGGCCAACTTCAAATTTTGTTCCACCACACTATTATTGTCTTTTCATCAGAAACAGTTGCAGGGCCTGAAGCAGACTCTATCCATGCCAATGGCCAGTTTTTCTCATACTCTATTTGTCCTTAGGGCAGTTTGACTTGTACCTAAGTAAGAATTCCCTCCACTAGCAAGAGGTTTTCCAGGCTTTGCTCTAAGGCTTCCGCCTTAGAGCAAAAAACTAAAACTCTAGTATTCTAGAAAAGGAGGGCAGAAGGAAATGAGGGGAGGGGTATTGGGAGGAGATGACTCTTCCAGCCCTCCCACGTGTTATCTACCTAGCTGTGGACACAGACTTCCTGAATCCTGGCTAATGGTGGAGTAACTCCCAGTGGTCTGGGGCAAGGGATTCTAGAAGGCCAAGAATGGCCCAGGTGGGATTGAGGCAAGTCTCCAAGGAGGATGAAAAGGGATGAACAGGATCCCTTGGATTGTAAGACTGGTACATTGATCAACCCAGGCTAATTCTCAGTGATCCCTTTCCTTTTTCTTCTTGGGCCCCAGGGTTTCACTTGTCTCAAGCTTTCTATTGTCACCACCTGCTAATTCCATGCTGCTTTCTCTCCTTCCCCCAGATCACCAAGGAAAAAAAGGCAGCTGAACAGATTCCCTTGTACTCTCCTGTTACTGGAACAAGCGTTGAAGTTTTCTGATGAATTTTACCTTTAGCAACAGGTTAACAAGAAGTAATAATAATTTTTTTAAAAAGTGCCTTCTAAGCCTTACTTGTTCTTTTCATTTTCCTTTTTTTTTAATTCAAAACCAAAACTTCCCATGGTTGCTAATGGTGTATTTGGGGGTAGGCAAAGGCTTGAAGTAAGATATATTTGCATTTTAGAACATAGTCTGGGTGGTCTTCCAAGAAGATTAAGGACAAGTCATTTTGGTACCCTAACGAGAGGTGGTAGAGAGTTGGGGGGGAGGGAGCAGCATGAAACAAAATCTCAAATCGTTTTTGTAATTCGTGATGTGGAAAGACTACGAGAAGTAATTAGGAAAATTCAGGGGGCTGAGAGTTGCTGAAGTGGCTAATAGACATTATTAACAATGTATTAATTATTAATGTTTATTAATTGGTTGACTTAATATTAATTATATCAATAACAGATATTATTACTGATAATAATATCATCTGGTAGCTTTCGATTTTAACTTATTTTGCTAAATAGATCCTAACGTTGGTATTTGCTAAGCTATTGAAACAGTCTATGTTGGAAAAATTTAACAAATTAAAAGTTGTATAATCTTCTAAAAGTGTTTTTTTCATATCTGTACTCTCTAAAATGTGGCCTCCTAGGGTAATGCCTTAGTTCCATCTCTGAAATTAAGGATTTCACTGCAAGAGGGCTTTGGAAGGGATGGAAAAGGGACGCAAGAGTAGCAATGTTATCATCAGGTTCTCACCCAACAGTTTCTGTGGCTCTGCTCCTTGGAGAAGAAGCAGCTGCTTCTTCTTCAGAGCATCCATTTCCCTCATTTTCAGAAAGAGCCTAAAATTTCTTCCTCCCTAATCCTCCTGGTGCTAGGCTGGATCAGCTGGTCCTGGTCCAACTATGACTGCAGTTTGAGGAGGCACTGATGGAAATGGGTTTGTCTGATTGATCCTGACTTTGGCTCTACCTCACCCCCCATAACTGCCTGGCAATACAGCTTGAGCCCTCAGTGTACTTCCCCAAACATACCCTATTGACTGGATGTCATGACGTTTCTCTGTGGTACTAAGTGTTACTCACCTAAACCCTATATTTAGGTGCCTGTGGTAAGGGAATGGTGATTCTCTCCATAGCTGCCTCATTGAGTGGTCAACGCCCCTTCAGACATTACCTAATTAGTCCTATGTCTACAGTGCAGAAAATAATGTATGTGACAGCAGGCTTCAGAGTAATTTGGTCACTTCCTGACTGTTCAGTGGGGTGATTCAGAGAGAAGTGTGAAAGGTGAAAACAGAGGCTATATAAGAGAAACCTAATTCCTTCTCATGTAGTAAAAGTGATCTCAATCAAAAATCAAGTAGTTTAAGGGTAATTATTTTTTAAGGATTTCTTAATCTTTTTAAAAATACTTTGAAAAGTATGCTTTCCCTTCCCCTGCTCCTTATGAAATTGGTACTATGTCAGAAAACTGGACTATAGACACCTAATGTTAATCTGTGCTGCTTCTAGGCACAGGCAGAATTGCTATAAAGATGAGAAAGGCCACAACGAGATGCCAATATTGGTAGAACATTATACAACACACAAATGGCATTAATTCAATTGCGTCTCTTCATCTTATTTTCAAATATGCCTTTGTGATTGATGTAATTTTCAAAGACTTGGAAGATTAAAATTAAAATCTAGATTTTAGTAAATATTAAAAAATCATTGTTTTGCCTGCATTTTATTCATGAGAGAAAAAAAGGAGTCTTTGGAGACAAAGATTGTTGGGTTTCTGGGTTATTTTGTGTATGTCTTCAGCACTTACATGGCTCCTTGGGTATAGTAGCTACTTAATAAAAGCTTGAAAAATGGAATTTCCTTTGAGATATTGTCTTATGACTTCTAGGACTTGTTGCTAGCCATTGGAATTTTAAAGATGACTTGAAGGATATTGCTCTGGAATTGGCTCCTTCAGAGCTTCTGTGAAATTAAAAAGTCAACTTGGTGACATGATTTAGTTACGTGAGTATAGTACCCTGGTTAGTGCTACTAATCTAGCTATTAAGCAAAGATAACTACATGGTCATTGCTATATATTTATAATCTATCAACCAACAAGCATATATTAAGTACCTAGTATGTGCCAGGGAGGGAAGCTAGGTGGCACAGTGAATGGAGTGCCAGGCCTGGAATCAGGAAGACTGAGTTCAAATCTGGTCTCAGATACTTAGTAGCTGTGTGACCCTGAGAGTGTCACTCAATCCTGCTTGCCTCAGTTTTCTCATCTGCAAAATGAACTGAAGAAGGAAATGACAAACCACTCCATTATCTTTGCCAAGAAAACCACTAAAAGGTGTTACAAAGAGTCAGACACAAATGAAATGACTGAACAACAACAAAAATGTGCCAGGGAACGTGCATGGGGATACAAAAATATAAAAAAACCCAAACCCTGCTTTCAAAAGACTCCGTCTTTAGTGGGGGAGGAACATGTACACGTATAAACATATGTGTACAAAGTAATCGTTGGGTGGGTTAGTAGCAGTTGGGATAATTGGTTGAGCGGAATGATTATTAATAACTAATGATTTGGGGAGATTCAGATTTCCCCCTTTCTTTTCTATTTTCAAGACCTCAGTCTCTGAAGGTCCGGCTAAATGTCTCCTCTATGTGACCCGACCCAACCCTACAAGGAATGTCAGATGAATTCCATTCAATCAAGCTTGGGTGGAGACAGATACTTTTGTCTTGATATCCAAAAACTGAGGGTGGTCTGATTATAGAAATAGTTTTTCTGTCCAAGGATGAGGTGATGTCACTCTTAGCCCTTCATTTTAATATAGCTCATCTTCCATTGTGTCATCCAATCAGAGTTGACTGCCACCCCTCAGGAAGGGTATATGAACTGTAAGCCTGCCACCATGATTGTCTTTGGCCTAAGAGAGATGGCCAAATGGCCATCTTTTTTTATTAGTAATGTGCTGGCCTTATTAATAAAATAATTAAATTACCCAGAAACTATGTCTCTGGAACCTTTATAATCATCACTCAGAAAAGGCTTCATGTAGGAGGTAAAACTTGAGCTGAATACCAAAGAAAACTAAGTATTATAAGAGATGGAAGTGAGGAAGAAAAGCTCTCCAGGCATGGGGCACCCTATGGGAGATAAAATATTATTTATGAGAACTAGAAAAAAAAGGGTGAGCTTGGCTTAGTTAAAGAGAGTGTAAAGGAGAGTCATATTTGCTAAGGCTTGAAAAGTAAGTTGGAGTCAGGTTGTGATGGGCTAAAAATGACAACCAGAGAGATTTGTTTTGGATTCTAGAGGGAATCAGGAGTCACTGAAGGTTCTTAGAGGGTACTTACTGGTGCTGCCCCGATGACACTTAGAAAACACAGGCCCAAAAGGATCACGTGCATCTTTGAGGATTTCTAATAAAAGACAGCAATCGTTTGCTTTGTTAGTAATTAGTCACAATAATCAGATTTTTTTAAAAGCTAAAAGTACAAACTATAGCGTCCTCTTTCAGATGTCATGGCTTCTTTTTCCATGATTAATCGCTAAATCTCATCAATTTGTTAATATTTCCTATGATCATGATGAGTTTTGGCCACTTGAGATTATTATGAAAGAAAGAAAGGGAAAGAAAGACCTAAAAATAATTGTGCTTCTGTCACTCAAATAACAACAGTAATTCATAGTGCCTGCTGTCAAACACTAATGATTTCTTTGCTCTTTTTCACACAAATCACTCATCTCTATGTCTTTTCACAGACCCCTAATATCTGGAATGTGTGTTCCTCTTCACCTGGCTTCATTCAAAAGTCAAAGGCAATCACCTACTTGAGTCCTTTCTTCATACTCCAACTCCTTCCTCTCTTCTCACCCCCCAAAATGACTTGGAATATATATTTTGTATAGATTTCCTAACTACTTATGTATGTCTACATAGTTTCTCCTTATAAAATGCAAACTCCTTGAGAACAGGAGAATCTCCCTATTCCATTTCTTTGTCCAGAGCTACCACATAGTAGGTGCTTAATAAATGCTTTCTGGTTGATTATTAAACACATTTCCTGATATCAGACTTTGGGACATCCAGGGAAAGTGAAGTGCTGAAGGCATCAAAAATTCATTTGACAGGTCTATAATTTGTTTTGCTGAGAAGTCAGCCCATAATTACTTTTCATGATAGTATCACAAAACTTCAAGTGATATCTAGAAATGGAAACACCGTGTAGAAATTCTCATAGTTATAGCGTTGGGAAGATAACAATCATTTCACCATTAGTCTAGCTTCTAGAATAAGAAATAGGAGATCCTGACATGTTTGCTCCTCTAATTCCAGTTTGACCAACACCCTGCCCTTCCTCGGCATCCTCACTACTACTCTGGGTTCTTTGCTTCCTGTTGCCAATCCAGTATCTGTAGATATTCAGCTGGCAGGACAGACCCACAATAGGGATACTGGAAGCTGTGACCTTCCCAGCTGTCCCTGCTATATATATATATTAGTAAGCATCCCACCCACTCACCTTGAAAATCACTCATTCTGACACAAGAGCTAGGAAGGTTAACCATACTTTGTTCAACGGAGTTTGCATCCCACCTCTGATAAAGGCAAAACAGACTGAAAATAACTATGAAATTGATTCACCTCAAGCAGAGATGGATGTAAAGCCACTCCAACATATATGACCTTGGCCAATTCACTTAACTTCTCTCAGCTTCAATTTCTTTATTTAAGGGAAATAAAGGGATTACAAAATTAAGAAAACCCTTAAGAAATGAAGGGCTTGGACTAGATAATCTTTACTTAAATCTCTTTCTATAATCCTAAAACAAAATTTTCTGTGCCACTTCCTCATTGTAGAGGGACTTTATATTTAGCTAAATTTAGCATTCAATGAATTTATTTTGTATACATGTACAACATATAAGAAGCTATTTAGCGTAAAGAGCTAAGAAGAACTGAGTTCATGTCTTTCCTCTGACATGTGTGGCCCTGGACAAGTCATTTGACTCAATCATTCAGTGTCCTGGTGATTCTCTGAGACTCTAAGTTGCAACTCAGTTGCCCTTCTGCATAGGTGGAGAGCTCCTTCTTGGGAATGTCCTGCACTGATGAACTCAAAGGTCTACATCAAAGCCTACTCACAAAATGACTAAATGAGACCCTGGGAAAAGCACAGTTTATCATATCATTGGTAGCACAGTGTAGCAGAGTTCATAGAGACCTGTCTTTGGATTCATGTGCTTATGAAACATCATGGCTGTGTGACCTTGGGTTAAGTATTTAAATTCTCTGTGTTCCAGGCAATTCTGTAAGACTCCAAGTTACAGATGAGTCATAGCTGAACATTGGCTAAGGCAGTTTCCACACTGTTATAATCATAAGTCCTTAAAAAACTATTTAAACATTTTTATGTTAATAGCCCCTAATGAGGTAAATAAACATTGTCAGTGTTGCTGAAATTTTTAACATTAGTACAACACATTATTTGTTGATAATTGATAGGCCAAATTAGGTCATTAGCTATGGCACTGATATCAGTACATTAAGATAATAATAATATTATAAATCGATTTAAAATATTTAAAGTCATAACTACACTACAATTGTTTCATTACTAAATGTCAAAATAATCTTTATTATTGAAAATTTTAATCAAAATATTCTTGTGTCATATTTAAATATTTTAAAGGATTCATGCAATTAAATAAATATTCCATTCATTGAAGATAAACTAAGATTATTTTTAAAGCCCAGGCTTCAAAATAGTCTGTTCTTCTGAATTCAAAGATTTCTTTGAGCTCATAGTCAGTAATCTAATCCATTAACTAATCAGTTAAATTAGTTAACAGTTAAATTGTGCTTCGACAATGTAAATTTCCCAGAACTTTATAGATAGAAATGATGGAAATTATGATAACAAGTTTCCAGTATCAAATTACTCAATGCTGCTTGGTAAAACTTTAAGAAGAGATGAACTCTGATTATCAAAACAACCAAATTATTTGTTGTATTCCCGATTAGGGGGATACAACATAGATAATTGATATTTATTTCTATTATATTATACTATTGTCAGTTCTGAAAGAGAATAACTTACCCCAATAGTCAGTCAAAGGAACATAAATTTTGCATTAGAAGGGACCTTAGAAATTATCTATCCCTCATTTTACAGATAAAGAAAATGGGACCCAGAATGCTTAAGAGACTGGCCCAACGTTATATAGATAGTGGTAGCAGATTACCAGCTTAAAAGTAATGTACCTTAATGTGATACATTTCCCTTTTTTATGGCAAAGCATTATGTAAAATATATAACAGCAAACTCTGACTGCCCCACACCTGAAGTTTCAACAAGAATGTTACCCTATCCGCCTTCTGCACAGAGAAAAGCTGTATTTGTAGTCCTTGTCAGATCTCCTAAAGTTCCTTTGGCAGGCGGTGGTCTGATGGATGCATCCATGTCTTTTGACAACTCAGTCATCCAGGTTTTATCACCCCAAAGAGAATCAGCACTTGAACAAGATTAAGAGGCCACACAGCACAGATACTCTGCATCCATTCTGAGTAGAGATCTTCCCCAAACATCCTATAAATGTTAATTTCCCACAATACCACCCTAAGGCAAGGGGCTTTCTTTTATTTCATTCCTCTTATTCTTTCATTTTAGATTAATTTCAGTATGCATTTACTGTCACAATTAACACGGATCTTACAAATGCAAATGACATTAGTATACAAATAAAAGAAATGGCTACTATAAACAGAATAACTTGCTATTGAGGACATTATTTTACAAAATTACCTGGTATCTTCAGTCTGTATTCTTCAGTAGGCTTTGCAAGACTTGGGCATTTTGCTGAAATTTAAAGTTTGCTCTGGTTCTGAATGACCAATCAGCTTTAGTTGGCTTAGCACCAGCGTGGGGACAGCTTATGGGGTAGGGAAGAGTGGGTAAAGTAATTTTCATCTAAAAATGTGTTTTTGTGGTAGGAAGCAGTTATCAAATGTTCCAGCAAGTTGGATAAATAGAAAGTATATAAATACTCTAGTTGAGAAGTCATATTGCCAGATAATTGGAATGGAGTTTAGGGCTTGGGGTGTTGTTTATTATATTAGTTAGATATTTGCATTAGGGAATTTTTGCAAAGGGAAAATGTTCAATGCAACACATATTTATTAAGCACCTACTATGTATGGTGTGGCTTAGGGAATGGAGAGCTGGCTTCATTGTCAAAAAGATTTGGGTTCAAGTTCTGTCTCTGATACATCTTGGCCACATGACTTTAGCTTCTCACTGTCCCAAGCAACTGTCTAAGATTATAAGTTGCCGAGCAGGTTCTGATGCATTGGTAGAAGGATTTCCTCTAAAAACTGTAAAAGGTACTGTGCTAGGCTCTGGAAATAGAAAGACGAAAAACAGCATAGCCCCTGCCTTTAAGGAATTAAATAGGGAAGGAAAGTCACATGTGATACGAAGGAATAAGTCAAAAGGATAAGCCAAGAGAAGAGAGTTATAAGAGAGAGGAATGTTCATCAGTGTCCTACAGAGAGGTTGAGGAGACTGAAAACTGAAAATGGTGCTAAATTTTAAAATAAGGATTGTCACTAGTGACCTTTGAGTTATACAACAGTGGCAGAATAAAAAATCAGATCACAACAGGTTGTAGAAGAAGTGGGTTATAAATGTAGGCATGGGGTGTAGACTATTTCAGGGGTGAGGAACCTTCGGCCTTGAGACTACATGTGATCTTCTAGGTCCTTGGGTGTGGCTTTTTGACTGAGTCTAAGTTTTACAGAACAAATCCTTTTATTAAAGGATTTGTTCTGTGAAGTATGGATTTCAAGGGCCATGCTTGAGAACCTAGAGGGCCACATGAGGCCACAGATTCCCTAACCCTGGATTCTGTCTAGAAGTTGTACAAATAGAAAGGAGATACACAGGATGATAGCCTGAGGGGATAGCCAAGTTAAAGATATTTTTAGGATAGTGGAAACATAAATACATATGTTGATTGAGAGGAACGCCCCTAAAGGAGAGAATGAAGAAAGAAGGGTAGTTGATAGAGGTTGATAGAGCAAGAGCATATATAGGAGACAGTGTAGGATAGCAGAACAAGCATTACATTGGGAGTCAAAAGAACCAGGCTGACATCCTAGCTCTGCCATTTATTACCTTTATGTAACCTCTGCCAAGCCTCAGTCTCCTTATTTGTAAAATGATATAGTTCCATAGGTTCCCAAAGTGGGCAATACTGCCCCTTGGGGGGCACTGGAATGATTGGGGTGGTAGTAGCCTTGGGTACAATTGTGGGGTGTTGAATAAAAATAAGGGGGCAGTGGAAGCAAAAAGAAAGAAGATAATTTTGAAAAACTATTCGTACATGTTTCATCTGTTGTGTAACAGAGTAGTAGTGATTACATTATTTTCCAAATAAACACACAAAATGCAAATTATAACAGATCAGTACTCAAGTCTGATGACAGGTCTTAACAAGCAAGTGTTGACAGGTCAACCTGTAGCACATTGTCAGGAAATCCAGCAGGCATTGTCAGGAATATGTGCATGTAATGAGTTGTTTACAATATAATACTGTACAGTTAAATGATGTAATATTGCACCATCAAAATTTCAATGCAGGAAAAAACCCCACAAATCTACAATAAATTGTTAAATTTAAAATGTGTCGTTTAAAAAAATTAATATTTTTTAAAATGATGCAATTAAAAAAAACTGTTAAAGGCTTAAAGAAAACAGATTTCCAGGAGGGTGCTGAGTAATTTTTTTAAAAAGGGAGCCAAATAAGTTTGTGAACCTCTGAGTTAGACTACATTACCTCTAAGCTTCCTTCCAACTCTATGTTTGTGATGCTATAAGAATGAACCAAATGGGAGGTGGCACAATGGATAGAGAACCTGCCCTCTTGAGTTCAAATCTGGCCTCAGACACTCACTAGCTGTGTGACCCTGAGCAAGTCACTTAACCCCATTGCCTCCAAAACAACAACAACAACAAAAATGAATCAAATGTCCACGTGGAAGGGTAAGCTTTGGCAGGCGAGAGAGAAATCTCTAAGATCAAAGGATAGTATACTTTATAGAATTAAAAAAAAACAAAAATAAATAAAAAATAATAACAAAATTCATTTGGAGGCCAATAATAGCAAACATTATAATGTAAAAAGAGTGACTTAAAGAAAAAAATTTCAAACTATATTACAAAGCAGTAATTACCAAAATATTTGATTCTGATAGAAAGATGGATGGGGGAGTAATTAAATAAGAAAGGCTTAGAAATAGATAGAAGATTGTGTAGTAGAGGCAGGACTCACTTGAACTCTCCCATCATTCCCCTCTAAACAACTTTGAAATAACATCTTGAATCAAATCCTGGAGCAGTCGAGCCAACAAAGGTTGGGGTTAAACAGTTCGCAGCCCAAAACAACTTAGGCGATTGGTAGGAAAGGTCTATCACACTGAGGTGGTGGTCGGCCCAGAGCACAGCACAGACTGCACAGTAGCAGTTCCAGCAGTGGGCATCGGAGGTGGCCGTAACAGTGGTAGTGGCAGCTTTGGTAGCTCTCAGCCCACAGATGGTAGGGGGTCAGACAACTGGTTAGAAAAAAATTACAAGGGACCCTTGGCTGGTGCTGGGGTCATAACCTTGTTGCATTACCCATACGTGGTTCTAAGTCACAGTTCCAGGGCAAAGAGGAGCCATAGTGCTTGTGGCAAGAGTGAAGCTGGGGCCCTGTCACTGTTGTAGAGCAGAGAACAGTGCTTGTGGTCACTCACAAGGGAATAGGGGTCCTGTTCTCAGTTTCAAGACAGAAAGGAGCACTAACACTTGTGGCTGCAGGGGATCAGGCAACATGTTCACAGTTCCAGGGACAAGAGAAGCACTAGCACTTGTGGCTAGAGGAAACCAAGGACTCTTCCAGAGCACAGGTCAGGAGAGCAGGACTACACGTTTCCTTAGATTATACCAGCTTGGAAGCACCAAAAGCTTAAAGTCCCATAGACCTTCCTCTGCAAACAGCAATACAAAAAACCTGAAGTTTGGGACAGTGCTTCCTCCACACCCAGAGCAAAGCCCAACTTTAACATGAAGTTAAATATTAAGAAATAGGCTTGAAAAATGAGCAAACAATAACAAAAAGAACCTGACCATCAAAAGTGACATTGGTGACAGGGAAGATCAAGACACAAACTCAAAAGAAGGCAACGATGTCAAACATCTACAAGCAAAGTTTCAAAGCGGGGAAAATGTGACTTGGACACAAACACAACAAGAATTACTGGAAGAGTTTAAAAGGGATTTTAAAAATCAAATAAGAGAAGTAGAGGGAAAATTGGGAAAAATGAGAGTTGATGCAAGAAAATTTTGAAAAGAGTCAACAGCTTGGTAAAAGAGGCACAAAAAAAATACTGTAGAAAATAACATCTTAAAAAACAGAATTGTCCAAATAAACAAGGAGGCACAAATATTAACTGAAGGAAAGAATTCCTTGTAAAATAGAATTGGCCAAGTGGAAAAAGAGGTACAAAAGCTCACTGAAGAAAATTTAAAAAATTAGAATCAGGCAAGTAGAAGTTAATGACTCCATGAGACATTAAGAAACAATAAAACAAAGTAAAAAAAAATAGAAGAAAATGTGAAATATTGCAGTGGAAAGGATTTTGACCTGGAAAATAGATCAAGGAGAGATCACGTAAGAATTATTGGACTATCTGAAAACTATGATCACAAAAAGAACCTATTAATCATATTTCAAGTTTTAGTAAACAAAACTGCCCTGATATCCTAGAACCAGAGGATAAAATAGGAATTGAAAGAATCTCCAGAAAGAGATCCCAAAATGAAAACTCCCAGGAACATTTTAGCCAAATTCCAGAGCTCCCTGGACAAGGAGAACATATTGCAAGTAGCCAGAAAGAAGCAATTCAATACAATATCATGGAGCCACAGTCAAGATCACACAAGATCTAGTAGTTTTCACATTAAAGTAGCAGAAGACTTGGAATGTGATATTCCATAAGGCAAAGGCATTAATATTACAACTAAGGAAAACCTACTCAGGAAAACTGAGTAGGGGAAAAATAGATATTTGATGAAATAGAGGAACTTCAAGTATGCTCAATTAAAAGAGCAGAACTGAAAAAAAATTTACTTTCAAATATAAGACAGAAGAGAAGTACAAAAAGGTAATAATAAGAGATTCAATAAGGTTAAAGTGTTTGCATTCCTATATGGGAAAATGATAATTGTAACTCTCAAAAACTTTATCATTATCAGAACAGTTAGAAGAAGGATAGGTATGAGTTGGCTATGATGGGATGATTTTAAAAAAATAAAAGGAAAGGGTGAGAAAGAGGGATGCCCTGGGAGAAGAGGGAAAGGAGAAGAAGAATGGAGGAAATCAGGGCAGCTTGGTGACACAGTGGATAGAGCACTGGTCCTGGAGTCAGGAGGACCTGAGTTCAAATTCAGCCTCAGACACAAAACACTTACTGGCTGTGTGACCCTGGGGAAGTCACTTAACCCCAGTTGTCTCACCAATAAAAAAAAAAAAGAATGGAGGAAATTATCTTACAAAAGAGAGGAGCACAAGGAAGAGCTTTTACAATGGAGGGGGAAATGGCTGGGTGAACAATGCTTGGACCTCACTTTCATCAGAATTGTCTCCAAGAGGGAATAACATACACACTCAGGTATAGAAATCTATTTTCAAAGGAGTATCCTACAGGGAAGCTACAGGGAAGCAGGAGGGGAATGGGATAAGAGAAGAGGAATGAGCTGATAGAAGGGAAGATTAAGGGAAGCAGTGGT